GGCCACCTCACTCACCCGACGAAACGCGAAAGTATTATAATTGCAATTTACGCCGGTCTTCTGTGAGGTCGTGGTACTTACCCAACCACCGAAATGTCTATGATTATGACATTATCATCATCTCGATGACATTGATGAATATTAAACACGCCACTGAGTTCCAACTATGCTGAGATTAGAATGAGCTTTGACAAGCTCGTCGATACCGGCTCTTGAGAGAGCTCAAGATTCTATAACGATGATTCGGCCCATTTGCTCCCAATAAAACACGTCACCAGTAGAGCGCATCCATTTTAAGGGCCGTATCTACTCTGTGGAGATTAAGTGGCGTTGTAAGTATGTTAATTCGGGTCGCCTACTCCATAAATCTCATCAAGCGCCACTCATAAATTTTATTCGCACAAGTTTGAGAAGAGGGTTACCGAATTCCTACGTTCATGGTAAATAGGACCGAAGGTTTCAACGATTTTTTAAATGGATGATTCAAGTCATTTTCCGTAGTGATAATGGTGTATAGATTTTATGATTATCTATTTATTTCAATAGTTTTATACTTTTACATTCTAGTAAATAATTTTAAATTAGTTTAATAATAATAATAATATAATAATAATCCTATTTATATATGTATTATATACAACATTTATATGTATACGTTTATTTTTATCCATAATATTTATTTTATATATGTAATATGTATCTGTATTTTTATTTTTATTTTTGAACCCAACCAGACGAGAAAACAAATGAATATATCCCCCATAATAATAAAATACTTTATTGTACACCAAAAATAAAAATAAAAAAGTACAAAAACAAAATATTTATCAAATATTGGTCATCAAAAGGCAACCTCCGAAATTTACCAAAAGGAGTTGTTGATAGCTAGGATGTACATGAGGGAAATAAAAATAAATAAGTAATAAAAGCAATCAAAATTAAATTAATAAGAAAAAACATACCTCATCTGAGTGATCATAGAGTTAGACGGTAGCTAGACAGACAGATAATGCTCCTTAACCTGTTTACCATTTAATATAATTTTTTTTATCGACTAGAAGGAATCTAACGACTACCAAATCTGGAACACTTATCTTTGGGTCACACAAATCCTTGCCCCGTGTGAAAGTCGAATCTGGAGACCCTGGTACCTATGCCAATTACTTAACAACTGATTCATCACCAACTATGTACTATGTATCTATTTTAATTGATTATAACGGTACTCGACCTTGCATAACGTCCAAGCATCAGCTTTCATATAATTGCATTACATTATTTAGTTAAATATTTACGCAGACAAATAACATTAAGACTTAATAGCAGTTTGTGTTGAATAATTACACATTTCAATATTTATCAATACTCATTAGTATCAACTAATTATGAATGCAAATATACATTCAATTTGTTTGTGGTATTATAAAGTAAAAAAAAAAAATCTTTAAACTATGAAAAAAACACTTCAACTTTCCCATAAAACATCAGAAGAATGGACATTATGGCAATGCTAAGATTATACATTGACTGAGCTAAATGACTAACATTCAGATCACACTGATCTGTATATAATTACGGATCTTTTAAAATCCGTTAAATAACTATCCGTTATCATAAACAATTTTGTTTAAAACTTAAATTTCTTCTGCAGAAAACAAATTGCTGCCCGCAATTTGTTTTCGTTGCGGTAATAATTAATTAAAATTTACCATACCTTGTCGTCTCGCTATCTGGTTTGAATACTTTCTCATCTTCTGTCACGTCATGGGTTTTCTTACCAGATCGATCGATCATCATTCTCCTGCCGTTATCTCACCTATGTGGGATCTGCCAAACTAGTGAATCATGTTTAAGCTATTTTAACTATGGTTTTTTACGAACAGCCGCCTGCCTGACAACAACTATCCTTAGGAAACAAACACCCAGAAGTGAAACAATTATCTGTTGTTCACAAAAATACTTCTCCCATGTGGGAATCGAACCCACAACCCCCGGCGCCGAAGCCAATAAGCATAGTAACTGCGTGGAAATCTATATTTCTTTAAAATTTGTAGAAAAAAGGAATGAAAAGTTTCTCGCCTCTGCGGAAATCGAACCCAGGCCCACTAAGCCAAACGGCTGATTGCCACACCGACGAAATTCTCAACGTCCTTTTATCTACATTACTTAATATATAGCATTTGAAGCAATACTTGGCGCATCCATTGTTATATCCTTTCCAGCATTCCAATTAATCTGTATGTCTGTCCGTACAGAGTGAATAAAAATAGAGTTTTTCTTTCATCTATATACAAATGCAAACAATTTTTAGGTAAATAAAAACACAATGATTAAAAATTACACAGTAAATTTTTAATTCATACAAAATTGTCTTGACAAAATACTTTATACAGTGTTTAACATTAAACTTTTTGAACATAGTACATAAATATGCACCATGTTATGAAGTACGAGCACACCTACCCTTTTTAGATATTTCTGACAAGGTATTGCTGAGGGTTTTAAACAAGGATTTAAAAAAAAACATATTTAAGAAATATATCTGAATTATAATACTTGCAGCGGAAACATTTGCTATATAGACTGGCTTGTTCCTCTTGAAGAGTAACAAGACAAGAAGATTGCCATATGGTAGTTGCATTAACACTTTTATCAACCGACTTGAAAAATGAGTTTATCAATTCAGGTTGTAATTTTTGAAGTTAAAGTTCTTTTGGCTCGCACAACGAGCCTTTAATTCGACATGTCGCATCATGGCCACGAATAACTACTTTTTGACATTTAGGTATAATTGCAAGTTATCACCGCTATCAGTTGCATTTATTTGTTTTTTTCACAAACAAAGAGTACTGGCACAGGGAATATTTTTTAATAATAACTTTAATTACACACTTTATTCTACTCCAATAAAGAAAAAACGTACAAAAAACGGTATTCTCGAATTCCGGAGATACATTTGGGAATTCCTCAAATGAAATGGAAAATGAGAGAGTTATGAAATAGAATTGAATTTTTGAAGTAGGTTGTGACTTTATTCCGAATTTCTTTTATAATTCATTACATAGGTGTGGTAATTGTGAGACTAAACTGCATGGTATACACTTGAAATCGGCACGCCTTGTATTACAAATTACATGCTGAATAAATATGGCAGCTCCTTTATTGTCATAAGCTCATTCAAATTGACTAGAAAAAATAACAGTGATAATACTTATAATAATTAAAATTTAAAGTAAAGTAAAAATAAAGTAATAGCCTATACATGTCCCACTGCTGGGCAAAGGCCTCCTCTATACAGAGGGTATCAGGGCATAGTCCACCACGCGGCCCCACTGCGGATTGGCGGACTTCACATATTTTCGAAAAATATTTTTTTTTGTTATTATTTCGAAAATATGCAGGTTTCCTCACGATGTTTTCCTTCACCGCGGAGCACGTGATAAGTCAGCACTTCAAGTTAAAAACTTCATTGGTGCCGGCACCGGGGATCGAACTCAGGTTGCTCGAGTATATTGAATTAAAGGAGAGCGTCCGGACACTGCTAGCTAACACGGCTCTTTTAATATTAAAATTCTTTAAAAATTTATAATTGTTAAATTAGAATGTTTTACGGTCTGGTATTAATTTTCTTCAAAAAAATGTAAACCAATTAACAGTACAAAATGTGATGACAAAGTTCGTTGAATATATTTGTAATTTTAATTGAGTAATTCTTGGTCTTTAAAATATGTGCTTTTTATTATACGACAAGCACTGAATAAAAACAAATTCGACATCAGGTATAATTAAGCATAATCTTAAATTAAATTAAAATAAATAATGACAAAAGTTTTTTTTCTTTTCTTGTGTAAAAAGTTGCCCAACGAGCAGATGGTTTGCAGATGCGTTGACAACCTTTTTGGAAATTGGGCTCCAGCTACCTCATTCACCAGACGAAACGCGATAGTATTATACTTCCATTTTACGCCGGTCTCCTGTAAGGTCGTGGTACTTATCCGGATGAGCCTGCCTATTCGTGCAACAGCCGAGGCAGCTACGTGGCCCTACCATCGAAGATTTCGTGCTCATACCTTACTTCTTAAAATATCAACCACATTACAAAAGTGCGCTGCTCTTGTGATCATGTTGCTACGCAATCATTAAATTATTTACTACTATTATCTTTACAGAAAAACATATTTTAAAGGTACACTTCAGAATTTGTGAAAGATGACATAAATAAGATGATATAAAATGTGTACACTGCCCGTAGAATTTTCCGATTGATACAATATCCCTTAATAAAAAGTCTATACTTTTCTGACGGGCCGACAACATTGAATCTATTAATTTAAAAAAAAAAATGTACAGCCTGCGGTAATCATCTCGGGGTTTGCTTGTCACCTCATCAGAAAAATTGTTTAGCACGGTTCCTGACATTTAAAAAGGCAAAATGTGCAATTAGTATGAACGTGTGTCGAACTTTACGACTACCATGCATGTTGTTTACGTATTTATTTATGAGTACAGTCCTTGAATCTTTATTTTAATACTAAGCCCCTAATTTCAATGTTAAAACTTCTTGAGAAATGCTTATCTTATTTAAATTAATGCAGTAACTTTTATGTTATAATAGTGACTTACACTTAATTACCATATTACAATGAAGTGCTTTATAAAATTTATATAATTTAAAACAACATTAATCACGACTTTATAATTACATTACTTATAATTAAAAATAAATCATTAGCTTTGTCGTGGATGCATCGATCAATCTACTAATTACATTATAATATTTATTTCTTACTTTTTTACATCGAGTATTAAACTCTTTTATATAACTTAACCGCTAAAAACATACACAACTAACAACAAATATAAAAGAGTTATACAGACAATAAAAGTACAACAAGAAATATGTAACTATTATACATCTTTAGAAATAGCCTGTGCCAGCATAAATCTAATAAGGTTTCTATTTTAAGTGAAGTCTGAATCTCCTTTGGTATTACCGACTAAATTAGAGAACTAATTAGAACCCATGTAAAGCAAAAAGCAAAGCACAGGCTCCATGCCACACAAGCAGACGCAGAAGACCTAAAGGCTGAATTCATTTCATGGAATCGAAAGGTTTTCATTTCATTTTGGATCGGTATGACTGGGTCTAGCATAAACGGGATCACATCTGTCGTCGTCCTCTTCTCCACGGGGCAAGGTAAAGTATCCGGCGGTATCTTCAAAACATTCCTCTTCATACCTCTTTTCGATGAGGGTACTATAATATCGTTAACGTGTTCTTTAGATAAGTCCTCAGCGGTCGTCCTCTTATCCGTAATGTTATTTTTGTCTATAGTCTCGATGGTTATTCCTGCGTGCAGAATGTCTTTGTTGAACTCCAGTTTTCCGTCGTCGGACATTTTGTTGTAAGCGGAGCTAACGATGGGCGGGTCGGTTTTGCAAGTGACACTCTCAAGCGATTCTTTTGTGCTCTGACTTTTTGTTTCGTTACGGAGCTCATGCATCCACTTCAATCGGCAATCACACACGAAGCTGTTATCTGTAAGGATAAAATGATATTTTTTTTAGAATGGTTTACCTCAAATTTAACGCAATTCATTTCTAATTTGCTATAAACTAAACAAACAATTAGTCTCCAGTCACTTTTCTATGAATATTTTCTATAATATATCTGATATATAAATCAAGCAAACTTATCTCAACTAAATTAAAAATTTGATTTGCTAGCAAATTTCATTCCATCATCATTACCATCATCATCATCATTTCAGCCTGTTTGATTCCACTGCTGAACATAGGCTTCCCCCACAGACTGCCACGAAGTGCGATCCCGAGCCACCTGCATCCATCGACCTCCCGCACATTTGCACAAGTCGTCACTATCTAGTGGTCATCCTACACTGCGGTGGCCAGTACGAGGCTGACTCGAGAACCATTCTTCCCCAAGGTTTATCGGTTCTATGAGCTATATGGCTTGTAGCTTTCATTCCATACATAACGACTTTTCTTTTACTCTTTCGATTATTAAAAGATTCTTCATTTGCTCTTTAACTACCTATTTAAATTGAAATACAATATATTTTGCTTCAAATGATGAAAATAATTGTTCGCCAATTTTCGTGAATTTGTCATCAAGTAATTGACACGTTCTACCGTTTACAAATTTACCAATGCGCTAGATTAATAATTGTCAACGCCGTGACCTAGGAATTTCTGGCTAACGTAACTTTGACACATATTCTAATCTCTTAATTGATGTTTTCGTATTCTTTGCTAGCTTACTCTCTAGGTTTGAAAGATATCAGTTTTAGAAGTTTAGTTGTATGGATAAATGGATCAAATTTTTAATACTTTGAAAGTTATATAAGAATAACCGTGTATACGCAGTGTGTTATCTTATTTGTTTTTTTCCTATTTTACCTTATCATTCTTTAATTTTATTAATTTTTTAATTAATTTTTTAATTTAATTTTAATTAATTCTTTAATACATAGTTAATTTGAAAACGCGGATAAATATACAAGAAAGCAAAACACGGCTGCTAAAACAAAGTATTGGTAGTGGAGCCACAACAGTCTTCGCTGTTGCACAAATGGGCAGATCCGTACGGGTAAGTACCACGACAGACCGGCCTTTCGTCTGGTGAGTTAGGTAGCCGGGGCTCACTCTATTATAAGGTGGAGCCCAATTTTCAAAAAGTTGTCAACGCATCTACAATCCTACGGGTGCTGCAAATGTCCTTGGGCGGCGGTTGTCATTTACCAACATGTGAAAGACCTGATGGTAAATGCCAACCGCCACTCAAACCAGTCCCTTGCCATCTTCTAGCATAAAAAATAGCACATAAATTGAAAATATCCCATTAGATAATATCTTTGTCAACTATTCTCTATAGTTAGACATTATATCAGATGTTTAAAGCGGATTGGTGACGGTCTGGCGAGTCAGTAAACCAGTAAAGTTTAACCTCACGTGAAAATCATTGACCTGATCATAATTCTTACCACAACCCTGACGTTCTATCCACAATATTGGCACCTATTTTTATGTTTACCTACGCAACGAAGAATATTAAACACGTTAATACTTCAGAATAATTATGCATAGTGTATACTACTAGTGGTGAAAAATTTTTTGCCCACATCTCTGTGTGTAATTGTACAAATTATTTCATGTAAGTGCTGCGTAATAAATAATTGCAATAATTTAATTTAAATTATTCATGTGTTTTCCAAACCAATAAAATGAATAAATAATTACCTGTTTTATAATTTTGGAGACATATGAAAACGTATTAGGAAGTATAATAAGATGTACCAAACGTATACTATTACTGGGAAAATTTTCTATAAAAATTTAAATTAATAATAGATTGTTTTCTAATCTTACGCAAAATCATAATCATATTCAATACAAAAAAAAGTTGTTTTTAAGTGAGAAAATGGCAAGCGAGCGGCCGGTTAACCTGATGTTAACTGTTAAGCGCCGCCAATGGATATTTGCAACACCCGTAGGGCTGCAAATGCGTTGCAAACTTTTAATGAAGATTATGAATGCTCCGGTAACCTCACCCACCAGATGAAACGCATTAATATAACACGCTGTTTCCCCTAACAGACCTGAAAATTCGTGCAACGGCGAAGACAGTTGTGTGGCCTTACTAGAGAGCAGATAAAAAAAACAGACAAAAGAAATATCCATTATGCAACTAGATTTTTCTTTAAATTAATGAAATTCTTGTATGTTCCTCAAAATGAAGATCTGTTTCTATATCGCAATAATTAAATTTTCTTTATAAATCGTCGTTATGATTCGTTTCAAATGGCCGCAGCGATATAAAAAAGCAGTACGGGTGCTATCAAGTTTCAAACGCTTCAAAAATTTCAACAAACTTCTAACTTCCTTGTTTGTCACCAACCGAATGACGAATGTTTGTGGAGAAGTTCCGCAAAAACTTACGGTATACTGTTCAAGTGGAAAACGGCAGTCTATCATTTAACTTTACAATTTCGAAATTATGATCTACGTATTGCAAGTTACTAAATATTATTTTAGAATAAACTTTATTTTAAATTAAAAAGAGGGAAATGCACGTTTAATGTTAGTAACAGTAAATCAAGTAGAAATTTAATTAACGTAAAATAATTGTCTTTAAACGTCTATAAAGAAATCCTAAATATATTACGTTGTCCACACAATATGTGTTAGCAATTGTCTCAATAAAACATTCCTAAATACTTTCTCCACACAATATGCCCTAGCAATTATGAAAAATTGAAATAAATTAAATAATCACCGAAATTTAACCAAAGATTCCCTCATTTGTAATAACGAAGTGGAAATAAATCAAGCCTCTAAAACACTCTAAGGAGTCATTATTGGGGAACTGCCGTGTGAGAGAACTAAAGTACTACAGTTCCCGTTGTTAAAATATTCAAAATGTATCTCAAGTTCGTCATAGTCTGCGGGTGAGTATCAAATATTCATTATTACCTTCCACGTGCAAATTGCTGTTTGGTGGCTTCAAGTTATCCAATATGGGCTTGATGTTGTCGAAAGTTAGAGCGTGTAGTTCGTTCGAACGCAAATCGAGCGAACTGAGCCCCCTCACACCCTCAAACAGACCAGATGGGAGTGCCGTAAGCTTATTATCATCGAGTGATAACTTCTTGAGCTGAGACAACCCGTCGAAAGCCCTTTCTGATATATATTTCAAATCATTTTTACCCAAAAGCAGGTCTTGTAAATTCCATAGCTCTGCAAACGTAAACTCGGTCAAATTATATATGTGATTCTTCCTTAGGTCAAGCTTACGGAGATTTGCTAAACCATCAAAGGTGTGTCTATTTAAATGCTGTATGTTGTTTTTGTTCAAATCCAATTCGAGCAAATTGAAAGTGTGTTGGAATGCACCGTCTTTGATCTGAGATACGTTATTTTTTGTGATTATCAATTTCTGCAACATCGGTAAATCGAAAAATGCATCCTTTGTAATCTCAACGATCATATTTTCTTCTAAATTTATTGTGGTCAGATTAGGCAGATGTGCAAAAGCATATTGCTGCAGCGTCTCTATCTGATTCTGAGACAAGGTCACCTCCCTCAAGTTAGTTAAATTTGCGAATGCAAAAGTTGTGACTTCGATGATGTTCCCGTATTTAATATTGATGACTCGCAATCTTTGCAAGTATTGGAGAGCTTTTGTCGGCACGTAGCCTAGCGCGCCGTCAACGCGAACATTAAATGACAAAGTTTGCAAAGTCGGCTGCGAAGCGAAACTTTGCCAGATGTAGTCTTCTGGCGGTATTCCGCCGTTAAACACCCAGCATTCGGCCTTCGTAGCATTCCTCGGCTCCCTCGCATTCTCGCAATAGCAATGGACTTTTGAATCGCGATCAGTGATGTCGCAAATATTCTTTTGGAACCCACCCGTTTTCTCTTTTGCTCGCCTTTTATTGTTGTCTCTTGCTTGTGCTGTGGACATCTCATTCACCAATGCTATTGTGATCAGTATGTACATCATTCCTGTGATTCTTCCCTCCATTTTTATTTAATCTGTAACAATTGAAATAACTATAATTATTCCTTTGTGTTTTCACAACATAATCAGTGGGTAATGGCATTATCTCAATGTGTAGAACATCTCAAGTATTCTTGTTTTCTGTATTGTAATTATAAAATAAAATTATGAAATGTTTTTTTTTTACTAACTTAGTAATTATATTTTTTGGTTATTACTTAGTTATTTGGAAATGCAACATAATATAAATGAGGTTTTTGATGTAAATAAAATTTAAAGAGTATTAATAAAGGCAAAAAATAAATAATATTTTTTTATGTCGTGTGTTTTTATGTACAAGGTTTCATTTTTAATTTAGGTTTTAGTAAGGTATATTACAAGAAAGCAGTTTCTTACAATTGTGCGGTTCATTTTTTATAAAATTTTACGCGGTTTAAAAGTTATATTAGTACGTACAACATTTACAACAATAAATCTATCTAAATTAGATACAAATAAATAAATAGATAAAGATTTAGGACACAAGAATCGAAGTTATGTAATGAGAAGTATTATGCAATAAACCTAGTTCACGCGGCAAGGTGCCAATAATGATAGCAGCATTTCCTCTCTGAATAGTTATGCTTAACTTTTGAGCAAGAAAAGAACCAGCCCTCTATGCGTTAAGCATAGGACGTAAGCCCTTCAAAAATATCTATGAACGGTAGGGGTCCCCCCTACGGAAACAAAGTTTGAACAGAAAATGGCACAAATACATAATCTAAACAAAGAGAATCATATTTGCGCCATTTACTTACTTCAGCTGCCTCCGATACCATCCCGGCCCTGAGTGAAGTACCCCTTAGATGAGAAGAGGCAGCCAAAGTGTCTACACAAGTAGCATCCCAAACAAGGGCTTAAGCTATTTAACATAAATACAATACTTCAAGTAAATTATAACAAAATACACAATGGGCTTATGGTAATTAAAATAAGAAACAATAAATGTTTTAGTTTCAATTACTTTACATCGATACTCATAACTACTTCCAAAACCAATTTCCAGCATACATAATATAATATATGAGTAAATAATTATTAATGTTAATTTTACATTTTATACTATTTATAATAATTATAATTTTTTTTATAACATATTATACTAACACGCAAAACACAAGGATGAATAAACTTGCTGTATTAGACTTTAGCTCGGCAATAAACAGACGCACACATGTAAACAATGCTTAGTAGACGAGAGTGGGGAAGCTACTAAGCATGACACAAAGAAAAGACCTAGAATATAAAATACTGTGTACGTAAGTACGTCATTCTCTCTCTTAATCCCATATATTTTTAAGTTTGCTTCTTTGTCGTGACGCGCTTCTGTTTAATTAACCGACTACAAGGTTCTCAATTTCGACTGTATTTTTTTATCTTTGTTACCTCATAACTTTTTACTGAGTCAACCGATTTTGATGGTACTTTTTTTATTTGATTCTTTTTTTTTTCTTGTTATTATTTAGGAAATATGCTTGTTTCGTCTCACAGCAGAGCACGTGATAAGTTTGCACTTAAATTAACAATTTAATTGGTGCCGGGACCGGGGATCGAACTCAGGTTGTTCGAGCAATTACGGACTTTTTGTACATTTATGAAAAACGAGAACCATTGGATACACTAAAACGTCTGTTATTAGAACATGTTATGTTAGAAAATAGCCCTGTACCTCGTTCCCGATGAAAGCCAATCAACTGTTTTGAAATATTTCCTCATCGAAATTCAGCAAGGGGTTAAAAATTTACACAGAAAAAGTAGAACCAATAAAGCTTCGTTTTCTCTCTGCTTGTTTTACGCTCAGCAGAATATCTTTTAGAGTTTTTACTGAACAAAACAACTACGAAGATAAAATTTAATGTGATATATATATAATATATAACAATAATATAATTTAATATAAAACACAACACTATATATATATATATATATATATATATATATATACATAAACAATGTTGTGTTTTATATTTAAACTTTGCTTAATTAATATGCAATTATTGTTCTTGATTTTGTTTGTAGTAGCTCTTGTTGTTTCATTATTAAACTTTGCTTGCAGACGAGTAAAGTCTGTTATAGTTGTTACCCTTCCCCTAATCCTTGACACCCTCTCTAATATTTATATTAAACAATACTAGATTGATACAGCTGTCGCCATATTGCCCAAAATAAACACTATTGGAACATAGGTACATTAATTTCAATGTTATTGCTTCGTCTAGACGATTCGTAAACGTCAAATAAACTAAATCAATTTAGACATTGACCAGGCAAATTTGAATTTTAGAAAATACACAAAATGACATGTGTACATGTGTACGTACTTGGCGATATCATAAGGATTGCCAACTGCCTTAGAAGAAGAAGAAGAAGACAAAGTACAATAACCAGATTTAATCGGCATAAAAATTGTTTAACGTTATAGTGGGGTAAGAAAATAGAGAATTCTTTATAAATTGATGGTTCGTCAACGTTTGATGATTTGTTGTGACAATAATTCAAAAAGCCTTTGACGTGCCTTCAATTATTACTATTGGCTGGAATTGATTAATTCAATATAAAAAAATGACGATAATGGCTTTGATAATATTTTGCGGGGAAATTATTTTAATTTTCAAAATTGTAAAATAAATTTGTTTAATTATTTCTACCTGAGTGTTCGTGAACGTTAGTAGCAATTTAATCCGCTGGATGTAATTCAATTAAGCATTACCTAAATGGAGATTTCCATTCAAATATAAAACATGAGGCCGCAATGCAACCGTTTATCGTGTTCAATAACTGAACGCTTTTAACAGCTTAAATTGATATTTAAGTATCTATAGCATTACTTTTCAATGTGTTATACATTAAGAGCAAAATCAATACAAACCCCAAATTTTCGCAAACCTACTTGATTCAAAAATCATATTCAGTCATAAAAATGTTAACCTTATGTATTAGTTACAGTAGTTAGCGCTTTTTAGATGGTAAACGCTAGGCGAAACGCTATTTGTTAGTTCTTAAGAATTTGTTGTATTCTGTATTTTTTAGTATGCGGTGTATAGGTACAAATGATGCGGGATGGTTTCAGTATCATATTCTGAGTCATAGTACTGATTTGTGATTTCACGAAGTTAATTTCTGCGGGGAAAGAAACCAAGTAGAGAAGAAGAGAAATTGCGAGATATACCGTTTTTGGGTCTAATATGTATAAAAAATTACTGCCTCACATTCGCGATTCATGTACGGCAATATGCTCAGCACGTGTCGCAACTTAATAAGCTCATCGAAATATTGGTTGACTACAGCCAGCCTCTTTACACTGCTCAGGCTTAAGCACGGACTAGAAAGCTGCACAATTGAAACTTGGGTACAATAAAAAGGAACAATTCCAGGTGCATAACATCTGCGAGTGTGTTCATGTACACTTACTTATTGATTTGTTTTCGGGGAGAAATCTTCAAAATATACCTTGTCACCACTCACATGACAGGGTTATGTTGGGTTCGTTCCTACTAAAACCCCCAGTGGCCTCTAAATTTACAGGTACAAGGTTCTGTATCTGTAAATTTAGAGGGACTCCGGGATCTCTTCGGTACTGCGCTTGAACATGCCTCGGAGAAGGATGAAGCTTCCCCGATACCCTCACCTTCTTGCATTGACTAGCAAGAATCTTCTTGCTAGTCTTTTCACACTTTGCACCATTGCTAGTCTATGAACCCAACGTCCTGTAAGTCGCCTTTATGCGGTAACGGTGGTAGGGCCACCCAGGGCAGCCTCGGCTGTTGCACGAATGGGCAGGCTCGTCCGGGTAAGTACCACGACCTCACAGAAGACCGGCGTAAAGTGCAAGGATAATACTAATTTTCAAAAGGGTGCTGCATCTGGAACCCTCGGGTGTAGCAGATGTCCATGGGCGGCGGTATTCACTTAACATCGGGTGAACCGTCTGCTCGCTTGGCAGGCTTTCACATAAAAAAATTAACACTCTTGCTTCGTCAGTTTCGCATGACAGAAGATGAGATTACACATGAGAGGAAATATTCTTCGTTCCGTATCGCCAGAGCACGAGTCAAAAACGCCGCAGTAGATCGATGGGACTTCACGCCGTAATGCGTTAGCGGTATTTGAATTACAAAGTTGTGAACTCAGCAACAACAGAGCACAAAGGAAGTCGCCGATCGGCACCTACGCCCAATGGAATCATTGGTACGTACCATGTAATTTACGGTACGCGTTTCGAATTCGAATTATGTTCGTATCGTTATGAATCGAAAAAGCTGTGGTGGTTATTGATACGAGTATGTTTCTCGTAGAAGATACTCTACGGTGCTAACATTCGCTTCACCGATGCTATGTAGAATTCTTACATTTACCCCGAAAATTAAACTATTTTAATCATTAATAATAAACATATTAGGAAATTTATTAGAAATTACTGTTGTAGCTAACGCAGTACGCAACAAGTTGATTTCATCAAAGTTACTATGAACTATATTTAAGCAGATAAACAATTCATAGCAATGGCTTTACATCTTGCTATTATAAATATAATATATAAGTACCCATTTTCATTTGACACCGCAACAGGGTCGAGGCATTTTTTCAATGTGCTGAAACCATAAAATCAGCGTTTTACTAGCATGTTAAAATGCATATATTAGTAAATGATGATACTAATGAATACATGAGGATTAATATATTCAACAGAAAATGTAATCAAAATAAATTGGTTAAAACATCTGTTACTTAAATTGCTCATTATAATGGACATAGAATAAAGATCAAGTTTTGACACTTGGCCTGCACTTGAATGCCCCCATTTAATTGGTACAATTAATTACAAATTATTGTTTAATTAACACTATTGAAAAACGATATTATGTTTATTCCTATCAGCTCAAGTAATATGAATATTATCTACCATTAATAGCGTAAATGAAAAAAAATACGTTTAACTTAGATTGTAAAAATCAATTTGCTAAAAGTTGTATGTATTTCACTTA